TACAAGTCTTAACCACTAAGTTGAAACAGAAATTATACGCTTATTCAAACATTAGATCCAATCTGACATCTTCTGTTTCAAATATCTATCTTCATGCCATTATACTCTCAACCATGTCGTACTGTTTACCTGTTTGGTCTCTTACAACAAATGAAATCTTAGAACCCATAGTTAGGCTCTACAACAGGGCCGACAAAATTCATAAAAAACGTCCTGGTTGGACTCATCACTGTAMAGTTCTTTCATTGTCTGATGCCTTGACTTTTCAGAATTATGTTTTGTATAGTGGTATTAATTTATATTTTCAGATCTTCCAAGGTGCCAATTATGGCACTCTCTGTGCATTGCTGCCCAAATCAAATTCTGGAAGTGGTCATTCAACTAGATGTGTTACAAAAGGACAACTGATATTACCAACTTTTAAAAACTGTTACGGCCAGAGGTCTTTTTTCTATGTTTATACTAAAGCATGGAATGACATGACTCAAAACAAAAAGTCTATTTCAAAACTACAGCCCTGTAAGAAGAATCTTGTCTGCCATCTGCTGGACACTTTTTGTTGTGCTCATATTTAGACGTCCTATTTTGCAAATACTGCCTTCCTGAAATTTGGTATGCTTGTGGGGTGTTTTATGTATTTTTTAATTGCAAAATGTTTTATTTTATATTTTTATTTTTCTGTTTTTTCCTCTCTTATTTCTGTTTTACTGTTGGACGTTGTTTTTGATGGGACTACTGATGTAAATTAGCCTTAGGCTAAATCTGGTGCAATGCATCAAATTATGTTTTAATTGCACACTGTTCCGAACAAATAAAATCATTCATTCATTCATTTAAAGAATGAAGTCATTCACAACACATCCTCTGAGCCTACACATGACTTAAAACTTTGTCATTAAATGTTGGCTTACATTCTCTGTTAGTAAAATATCTCACAAAACACAAGGCTAATTGTATTGAAATTTGCAAGAGACCATTAGAGATACAACTGACTAAACACCTTATATAATCTAGTGCTCAGAAAAGTTTTCTTTCTTCTCTTTTTGTTGGTGTTTCCTGTTTTAGAAGACAAAAGCTTCAGTCGTCTGGACTTGCAGTGTATTCATCTCCCTGTTGGCAGAGTCCTGTCTCACTCAGAAGGTAAAACTCTTCTTTCTGCTCACCATTATTCTCTGAACCCCTCTGTGACCAGCAAAGTGTGGTTGTGTGTTTCAGCTGCATATCCTCTGGGGCCCCCAGTCCATGATGTACCTGAAGGGCAAGTGTGAGTTCAAACACAGTGTCTGCTGTTCTTTTCACGTTACAATCAAACACGAGTGTTTGTTTGTTCAGACCTAATCATTTGATCTGTCTAATATAATTTTATATTTCAAATCTAACCAGCAATTAATTTGTACCCTTAAAGTTTTATTTAAATAAGTTACTCGTAAGCTTCGTGTAACTACAACTTATAAGTAACTTCCATGTAACGTGTCTGAACTTTGTGCATAAGTTACTGGTCACATACAGCGGGTAAAATAAGTATTGAACACGTCAACATTTTTCTCAGTAAATATATTGCCGGGTCAAATCCCAGCCGAGACCAGAGTTTACATGTTCTTTTTGTGCAGGCATGGGTTTTCTCCATTTTCCTCCCACAAGCTTAAAACACATGTTAGGTTCACTGTGTGTGTCTCTATCAGAGGTGTATAAAGTACTTGAAATAAATAACTATGTAAAAGTACTTTGACAAAATATGACTTTAGTAAAAATTAATTTCACTGAAAAGAAAAGAAAAAATAAGAAAATCCCGGCCTGGGGACCTTTCTGGGTCGAGTTTGCATGCTCTCTCCGTGCATGTGTGGGTTTTCTCTGGTTACTCCAGTTTCCTCACACAAACAAAAAACATGACAGGTTAATTGATAACTCTAAATTGTCCCTATGTGTGAGTGAGAGAGTGAATGGTTGTTTGTCTCTATGTGTGTCTCTGTGATGGACTGGAGACCTGTCCAGGATGTACCCCGCCCCTCACACTGTGACTGCTGGATCTGGGCACCAGTGACCCTGAAAAGAAGAAGCGGGTATAGATGGATGGATGGATGGATGGATGGATGGATGGATGGATGGATGGATGGATGGATGGATGGATGGAAGAAAAGTACTTAGGTAAAAGCCATAAAAGTGTTCACAATAATCAGGAAAGCAAAAGTTCTTTTACACACACTCTAAGAAATGAAGTGTTGAATTTACTCAACCAAACTGAATTGAGTAAATTGAGGTATTTATATATTTTCTTTTTGAAAAATGTATAAATTGCTTTACATTTACCCAGCTCAGTTTAGTGGAACCAGTTGACATAACTTGGTCATGATGAGTTCTGATCATGTGTAACTAGGTTTTAAAATTTAAAGTAAAGAAGTAAGATTATAATTTTTATGTTTTATATGTAACAAAATAAAAGTCAAAGTTACAACTAAAAATACTTTGGGAAACTATTAATCCTAAAAAAATTACTCAAGTACTGTAACAAAGTAAATGTACTTATTTATTGTACCCCTCTTGTCTATATGTTACTGTGATGGACACATAGAGACCCCACCCCTGCAGTGACCCCTGTGACCCTAGAAGGAAGAAGCAGATTCAGATAATGGATGAATAAATTGATAAAGGAGATTTGTGAAAGGCTCTTCTCTAAAGCTGGAGTTGTAGTAATAAAAGAGGAACAGATCACAGCTGAAATGATCTAATCATACAGTATCTAAAAATTCTGAACCCCTCAAATCTAATTCCCTCATTTCAGCACCCAGTTGCATGAGAATTTTCCAATTTTTAAAAGCTTTCTTGTTCTTTGTAAATATATTTTAGTATTTCTAGCTATCTTGCAAAATCGTGTTTTTATTTATTATTGTAATTATTTAACAAATTAAGTAGGAAACTGTTTAGTTGAAGTAGATCTCCAATATTATTTTAGTTGTAAAATCATTAATACCCTGTAGGGCGATGCAATGGTTTATTGAAATATGATAGAATTTTCTACAATGAGCTCCAGGTTGACATGAATGAGATCAGTGTTTTAGAAAACACAGCTGCTGCTCTGAGCAGCATCTGTGTCTTTATTACATGCAGTATTTTATCTTTGAATACAAGCAGGGGGCATTCATCATGTTTACGCTGCTCATTTACACACTTTTCCTGACGTTAGAAGCGTTTTATAAATCTGACCTGGTATGTTCGTACGAGAAAAAGTTAGAGAAATTTAGGATAAGAATATGAAAGTGTTCTTCAATGAGGCCCAATGTTATTTATAAATCATATATTTTTCTGGTATATACTGTATATGCTGTTTGTAATGATTGTTGAATGAAATTGACAAAATTGTGAATTTATTGTAAAAATATTACGTTAACTCAGAGTTTATGAATACATTGTTTGTTGAAGCTCTTCACCCCCTGGTTGTTCTGATGGTCAGTGTGTACTAGTGTTAGCTGTTTTATTTTAAAGATTGTGTCTACATCTTTGTGCAAATATGCTTTAAAAAAGTCAAGACTCAAATAATAAATCCTCTGGAGTCATTCAGAGATGCTAGAATGAATATCAGCCTAATTTGACATATGTTTTCAGATGGGAAGAGGTTTGTGTCTGAGGGGGACAAAGTTTGGAAGCAGAATCTTCACAGCTTCTCCTCACTGCTCAGAGGTAACTTATATTTCTTCTTATTTTAAAATAGGTTTTTATGGGCCCAAATTGGTCCCAGATGCAGTTTTTACAGCAGCTGAGGGCAGCTGGAACATGGCTCATTTTAGGCTCAATATCTGTAAAAAGAACTGAGTCAGAGCTCTTTGTGTTGGTTAAAGCTGACTAGTTGTGGCAGCCATCTTGAATTGGTGGGACTCCAACAGTTATTGTAGATGTATGGTTTCATTCTGAGGGTTTTATTCAGATCTGACCCATGGTTCAGACACACCTGAATATCAGTAAAAACTGCAGAAGAGCACTATATTCAGTCTTTAAAAAAGAAAAAATATTTGGTACAATGCCCTTAAGTAAAACAAACAAAACATAAGTTATAATTGTTTTCTTTTATTTGCGTGCGTGCGTGTGTGTGCGTGTGTGTGTGTGTGTGTGTTTCTAGGCATCCAAAGGTTGCCGGATTTTAAGAAACCCAGAGGCTTTTCTCAACTCAGAGACGATCTTCGTTCACAAGCTTTGAGTTTTTGAAGGAACCAGCAGGAGGCGCTGCATCGACCAATCAGGATGAAGGTCCGCTTTTCTGTCCGCTCATCTGTAATACTCTGTATTTTTTAACCTGACTCTTATTTTCTTTTCTTGTACATAAAGGAAGCAAAAAGTCTTTGAATAAATGTTGTGCGATGCTGTTTACTGCTTTATTTCCCCCTCACCCCTCCTCTTCCTGCTGATGTTTGTTCTTTAGAAGATGTCAGTGTTGGAGGGTTGTATCATGTTCATTTATTTAGGTTATATTTTACAAAAGGGAAAACATGTATATATACACTGCTCAAAAAATAAAGGGAACACTTAAACAACGCATGTTAACTCCCGATCTTAATCAATGAAATATTCGCATTGAGTACTTTGTTCTGTACAGAGTTGAATGTGCTTCACAAAAGTTTGATTTACTTGGACTTAGCGTGCGTTGTTTAAGTGTTCCCTTTATTTTTTTGAGCGGTGGTGTTCCCTTTATTTT